GCCCAAGAACCAGCCGTCCCACCATGGTCACGCGGCTCCCCAGCCAGCCCGGGGTGCTAGGCTTTCTCCTTTTAACCAATAAATATGAAACAGAAGAAAAAAAACATGTCTGAAGAAGAGCTTAATGTTCTTCACTGCTTTTGCTACCATCATGGTTTTCAAGTGCTCTTGTAGCGCTCAGGTGCTTTGGCTGGTTTGTTCAACTTGAGGAGTCCTTCAGGGCTCCACACAGCCCTGGCACACATGGGTGCTGATTTCGGGTCCCCTGCACAGCCCCCTGTCCTGGTTTTGCTAGGATTGAGTTCATTTTCTTTTTGGTAGTTAGAATAGCTGTGTTTTGGTTTCAATGTCAGACACGCCACGAAGGGCTGCTGCTGAACTGCCAATGGCTAATACCACGCTAAGCTGAAATAGGGACAAACACATCTTCCTTGGGTCTTCTCAATGCTCAAAAGGATGAAGCAATCTGGGTCACCCTTGCTCTGAAAACCACAACCAACCACTGCTGAGGAAGAGAATTTTACTGTGAAAAACAAACAAATAAAAACCCCTTCTGGCTTCTCATGTTGAACTCACTAACCCAGCACTTACCTCATGCCAACACTCACTGCCAGCCTCTAACTGCTGCTGGTGCCAACCATTTCTCTGCCAGCATTTCCCAACAAGTCAACTGGCCAAAGGGGAAAACTGCTGGTGAGGTGAAATACCAGAACGTATGAAACGTACCTCATCGGTGTCGAAAAGCACGGCTGGGGCTGGAACACCATTTATTTTTGCAGCCTTTCGAATAATAACTTCTGCCTCCTTATATCTTCCCTGGGACATCAACCACCGAGGGGACTCAGGAATGATCCTGGAATAAGTTTCAGAATAAATGACTCAATGTTTTCACAAAAGCAAAAAAAAAATAAATTAAAAATTAAAAACACATGGGTTTTTTTTTATGGGTTAGGCTGTCATCTCACAGATTGCTTGCAGCAGAAGACACTCAGCACAGAAGCACGTGGGCAAAGTAATTCATGGATCTGTCCCACTGGGATGAGTAGGAGAATTTGAATATATAGGACTCGTGTTCAAGTAGATGCATGCTTGGTCCCTTGTCCCTTGTGGTTGGTTTTTTTATGGAATAATTGATGTCTACCAGAAAAAAAACCCCAGATGTCAGCAGGCAGAGAGCAAAGATGCGGGTAGCTTAGCCAGTGTTGAGCAAAAATATTCTTAGGGAACTGCAGACGATGTGGAAATGCTTTAAATATGCCCAGGGTACAGTTAAAGACTCTGTGTCACAGGAATCTTACATCCAAACCTCACCATTCAACCACAGCTCTGGGGCAGGCTCTCCCAGGCAGAGGACAGTGGCAGTGTCCCCTTGCAGAGTTGATGACATTTTCTAATCAATTCCAGTCACGTGTTGAGTGACTGAACACCAAACACAGGACAGAAACATCTCACCTTGCCTCAACTAAATCCTTTGATCTGAGCAGATGCCACCTTCCTCCCTTTACCCAGCAGCACTTTTTCCTCTCCTTGGAGAAAAGCAGGTCAGACACTCCTTTGCTGGTGACCTCCCTAAAGGGCTGACCCGAGGCCATGTCAACGGTTTGGAACATCAGATGATTCATATCAGATCGTTCAACCATTAACGTGACTTTCCGTGAGACGTGACTTTGCTTCTGTCTCCACTGCTCCTCTTTGTGGGCAAACTGAGGAACACAAGACTGCAGAGATGATGTTGGGAATCTTCTGGAGATTTTGGAAAAGGAATGAATAAAAGAGCAACTATGGCCAACACAGCCACTTCCATCACCCATGGAAGCAGTGGGTCCAGATGCTCAAATGCCAGCGAATACCAACCTGCCTTGGCAGAGCTCTGCCAGGGCACCTTCATCCCCACCTACCACCACGTCAGCCCCAGTCTGGATGTGCCACCCATGGAAATTTTTGGTGTGCTTTATGATACATGCTCTGAAAAAGCATGGAAATTCCCACCAAATCCATGTCAAAGCAAGACTCTGACACCATGCCTTAGGGACTGATTTTGTGTGCCTCATGGTGCCTGTTCTATAGCAGATATCTGAGAAGCTTCCACCCCAACACCAGCCTCTCCAGAGAACAGCTGCTTGGTGCAGAGGGAAACACCACTGTGTTGAAGGAGTTTGAAACATCCCAAGTTAAATCAGCAAATCGACCCTTAAACAGAATAATCAGATTATCTTTACAATCAGATGGTAGCAGAGGTGGAGCTGAAAACCATTTTAAAGGTTTGGTTTGAAGACTAAGATAAAAAAAAAACCAACCAACCAACAAACCAAAACCATCAGCAGAGACTTGTGACAAGACTGAGATCTGCAGGAGGTCTGTTAGACAATAGAAGAGTGGGTCTAAATCACTTAACAATTATACAGACATTAATCACGTACGGACACATGGGCTGAATGTTGGGATTGTCCTGTGCAGGGACAGGAGTTGGACTCCATCATCCCTGTGGGTCCCTTCCAGCTCACCACATTCGATGGTTCTATGATTCTAACTCTTTCAGGATAACAGGAAGAAAGGAGTTCCCCAGATAAGACTAAGAGGAAAGGAGGGAACTCTTTTGTTGTAAATTATCCTTATTTTAAGAGTGTGAGTGATACCCTTCCTATTTTCTAACCACCTCTCTCTTCAGAAAACAACAGATGACCAACACAACAGCAGAACGAGGATATCTGCCCTTCTCCAATGCTTCTGTCCAGCTGAGAAGAGCAGGGAGTTCTCCTAAACTATTTTTCAGCCCCCCAGGGCAGAGCAACCATGTACCTCAGAGCAGGGATGGGGGAGTGCCATGGGAAGATGATAGAAAACATGGTCTCAGCCACCAAGAAGACAGAGTGGGATGGCTGAGAGGAGCAGGGTAAGGAAGAGCCAACCTTTGGCTTAGTCAGAGTTATGAACTCTGAAAGTTGTGGCTGCTCCTCCCTGGAAGTGTTCAAGGCCAGGTTGGATGAGGCTTTGAGCAACCTGGTGGAAGGGGTCCCTGCTGCTGGCAGGGGGGGTTGGAACTGGATGAGCTTTGAGGTCCCTTCCAACCCAAACCAGTCTGGGATTCTATGATGGGCCAAAGGAGCTCGCAAATCAAAGTCCTGCACCAGCAGCCAACACAAAGCTTGGGAAGAGATGGCTCCTGGCACCCAGAGCCCACGGGACAGACCTGGCCCAGTGAGCTCTGGGGCAAATCTGCTTAATGACATCTCGGTACCAATCAGCAGGTGAATCTGACACCGAAAGAACATCCCCTTCTGCTTAAAACAACGTGACAGTGACAGTCAGTCACACACCAGCTCGGCCAGTCAAGTTTATAGGCTAAAACAGATTAACAGGAGACTTGAGGCATTGAATCTTTGCTAAGACAGTGATGCTGGAATAAAGCACTGGAATAAATCATTTCTGTGGAGCCAGAGGTGTTGTGAACAGGCCAAGAGATGGACTAAGCACGTGCAGAGGAAAAACTCAACTAAAGGGCACAGTGATAAAGTTTCTATGGTCATCAGACGACCAGTGTGCATGCAAAAAAGACATTAAAATGTATTAATGAGTGCTTGGAAATGTGATGAATATGTTAATAATTTCTTGGAAAAAAAATGAATATGCATATGTTGATAGTATCAAGCTTTTGTAGAGGGACAAGTTGGGATGCACGATGGGTGGAGCGATCCCCCGTGCATCCAGCACTGTAATAAAGAATGCTGCTTTCTACAACTCCAAATCCAGCCTTTAGGGAGTTTCTTCTGACCAGCTTTTTCACTATCAACTCCACATGCAAAAATGGCTTAAAGAACAATGGAAGGAAGCAATATTCAAACGAATCACACAGCGGTGCTACAGGGGTGAACCTAGAGGTGGTTTAACAGCGTCCAGAGTTATGAGTCAAATACAGAATTCCCAAGTTGCTCTGGAAAGCTGGTGAAAAAGTGGCTTTGAGTGCATGGCCAGCACCAGCGAGGTTCTGCAGGTAGTTAACTTGACTTAAAACTGGCAAAAAAAACCACCCCAAATAAAAATAATCCCCCCCAAGGCAAACAGAAAAGAACAAAAAAAAACCCAAATAGGAGAAAGGGGACCCCTAACACCCCACCATGACCCAGGGAAGGTGGGGAGGGGGGCACTCACCACCAGAGAGGGATGCAGAACAGCCCCGGGACAGTGAGTGCCAGCAGCAGCATCCGCCAGTCTCTGATGAAGTAAGCAAACAGTGGCAGCAACATGTAGCCAAGTGCAAAAAATATGCAAACTCCTAACGTAGAGAATATAATACGAACTGATTTGCCAAGAATTTCTGTTCCTGTTCAAAACAAGGGAGGTTGGATTAGCATTTTAACTCTTTCTTTGCAGGCATGACTAAATACTGCATTTATAAAATAAATTAAAAATAAATAAATAAGGTGAACAATCTTAGAAAGGAGCAGCACAGCACTGACCCACCCAGTACAGAAAAGCTGCTGGGACTATCGGGGACCTTCAGATGAAGGAGTGACTTCTGTTTGCTTTGATTAACAGCATTGTCACAGACAGATAAGGGCAGGCAGAGGGAATGGCCAGCAGACTTTCAGGAGCCTTCTCGACATGCTCAGCTAGGACACAGCCTGCTCCCCCACTTAACCCATTGGGATTTCAGGTGCAGTTCATTGCTGAGCAATCCAGAGGAGAGCAGATCTGTGGATGGCAGACTGACACTGGATGGAGGGATGTGAATTTACAGGGAGGTGGGAACAAATTTCACATTTGATTTTTGGAAACAGAAGGCTGGAATGCCAAACTGGCACATCATGGCTTGTAGGACACAACCAGGGAAGATGCCATCTTCTAATAACGCTGCTGCTCCAGTCACCAGGCAGCAGTCAGTGAAAGCATCCCACAACCACTGCATCACACACAGCCTAGCACCATCCCAATATCTAGTCATAAAAATGGAGACTGCTGTAAGCCTTCAAGAGCACTTCATTTCTTTTCCAGTCAAACTGCTAAATGCCCTCAGGTCCACCTCACTTCTCGTTGACCTCTCAGCCTGAGGTCTACAGAGCTCTCCTCTCCATCAGGAGCACCACAAGGGCTGTAACTCCCACAGTTTGATCTGGACTCAACTAAAAAGCAAATGACACAGCGAACAGGAGGGTTTTGGGAAGTCTGGAGAGTGTATTTTGGTTGTATAGCGTGGTAAGAACTCCAGCATTTAATATTGCAGCATAGAGGGGCAAGGACCATCCTGCATAAGTGCCTCCCTCCTTACTGGTGACAGGCAGCTGATGACCCACTTAAACTGGGAAGCCCATGTCCAGGTTAGTTTAGATTAATGTTAGGAACAGTCTCAAGGCTGCTGGGGGAACACACGTTCCTCTCCTCTCCCAGGGAGCCATCGCTGCTGCGACAACTCCACAGAGAACAGGACAGCAGAAGAGACAAGGCAAGGGGTCAAGTGTGAGGAACCACAGTTAAATAAACCCAACTTCACTTCAGGACACCCCGTCCTCTCTCTCAGTAACGGGGACATTTGGCCATTGGGGTGCTCCAGGCTCCCCACAGCTTTGCCTCTGCTGAGGCAGCATCTTGATCCATATCCAGCTGTGCTCCACATCCCTGGGAGCTGAATTCCTGCCTGATCAGATCCTACACCCCCTACACAAACCCCATGTGCCTCCAAGAGGATTTTCAGCCAAGCCAGAGGATTTTCATCCAGTGCTCCTGACCCAGCCCCGTCCCTCCCAGTTGCCCCGCAGTCGGCATCCACTGGTGCTGTGGCGAGGGATATGGTTTAGTGGGCACGGTGGTGACGAGTTGATGGTTGGAATGGATGATCTTAGAGGTATTTTCCAACCTTAATGATTCTGTGATGGCAATGGCAAGGGATCTCCCCTCTGATGGCCTGACCTACTCATCCTCCCTTCACCTCGCAGTGGTGACTTACGCCTGCCCCAGGACACGATCCATATCCCCTCCATAGCACTGGTTTCACCTCACACTCTTCTGCTCTATTTCCCCCTCTGTTAAAGTCTCACAGGGGTAGGAGAGAACAGCACCAACTATGGGTATATGGTTTTAATTTGGACTAGCTCATGTTATGATCCACAAATTGTCATGTAGACACCACTGGTTTCACCGAGACTGGTGACTTGATGGCTAACAGGGCTCTGACACCCACCCAGCTCCTCAGCTCCAGTCCCCCCCATGCTGTGCTTGGAAATGCTGGTTTGCTCCAAGGCTTTGCAGCCCAGCACCCAGGTACACACCGAGCCCTCTGCACAAGGGCAGAGAGGCAGGGAGACAACCAAAAGCCTTCTCTATCTCAGACCTGCTTCTTCTGATAACAAACCATGGACACTTCCTGCAACTTCTTCTCCAAAGAGGAAAGAAATGGATATTTAGAGGGTTTCTGGTCTCATCTAAACCTATAGAAAGTATAGGCTTCAAGCATCCAAGAGCAAAAACAACAACAACAACAACAAAAATCACACTGTCCTAAATTAGGAATTGTAGCAGTGAGGATTTACTGCTGTCTAATTAAATGATGGGGGTTCAGAGAGGAAAAAAAACCCCAAAACCCAGTACATTAAGCAAGTATTTAACCTAATGCAGACATATTCATACCCAGTATGAAGGCCACCACGTAGTTGGAGATCTGTCCCATCCCCACTATGAGAAAGAGCACTGTGAACATCTCCCAGCTGGTAGAGAAGATCTGCAGGAAGCTGAAGCCAGTCTGCACAGCCATCGTCAAAAAAAGGATATTCTTCCTGCCAAACCTTTTGCAAAAGATAAAGATTATTAATAAAACACCATGTACTTATGGAACATATGGGGCTATGCATGAGGGAGCACAAATATCCAACCTCAAGTGACACAGCTTAGCACTACCTGAAGTTTGGTTCATCTTGAAGAATTTTGTTTATATTTTCATAAGTGCTACCAAAAAAAAAAAAAATTAAATTAAAATTTCCAAGACCCAGGAAATAAGCTAAGAAGAAAAATTAAGAGCAGAAACTTCAGGGAATGACTAGACAGGGACTAAGGAGAGCAGACAACAATGCCCAAGTGACAGACATGTGAAGATGGCAAGCCCAGAGTTAGGAAATGATGGTTTGCAGGCTACTGGCATCTATACATTGCAACACCATCACACTTTGAAGGTGTTAAAGAGCTTTTTGCACTGGTTTCAGTCTCTCTGAGCTCCACACCCTTTCTCTCACCTGTTACGTAGCATTTTCTTGGGGAAAGGCAAGCCCAAGCTTACGCACGGGTTTGCACGCCCGGGGCACGCTGCCCTCTGCATGGGCTGCACCGCTGGCTCCTGCCCCAGCCCTTGGCTTAGGGAAGGTTTCTGCAGCAGCACAGGGGGAAATCGCTCAGGTACAGGTACAGGCTCAGGAGATCTCCCTTTACTGACAAAACATCTCCAGAATAATGTGATGACTCACTCACACTACCGCCGGGACACGCACGCGCTTCCTCCGCTGCTCCCAGTGGGCACACGGCACCAGTGGGATTTAGTGATTATCTCGTCTCCCTTTCAAACAGTAACACTGACTGACTTCTGCGTCGGGGGCAGGAGTCAGGAGATTAAACTCAGATCACATGGAATTTAATGCTGGAGGCTTTAGGATTAAGACTCCCGGCGAGTTTTGAAACCCCTCTGCTAAACGCGCTGAAGCTCTTGATGAATTCCTCACTAATAGGCAGCAATGAGAGCAGTATTAGAGACCCTGCCATAGTGCTCGGGGGATAAAAGGCTGAGGGATGTATGAGAGGGAAGCAGAGACCCACAGAAAGAACATCTGTTTGGCATTTGACACCTCTAAGGCCAGAACTTCGATACTGCTGAGATAATTGTCAAGTGCCTGTAATGTTTTCTTGATACTCTGCATCTTAGTTAGGTGGTGTGACAGGACTGCTGTCCATTTACAGGTTATCCTTTTTTTCCTTCCTCTTGGTTATGCTTCCTTTATTTCCAGCAAACCATCTCTTCTATGCAGAGCTTCCATTCAGTGGACAAGTTTCTACCCTGCAGCTCCAAGAATGGACTTTCAGTTAACGTGTGACAAAGAACAAGGTATTTTAAAATACTAAGAAAACTGGATAAAGAAACAAATGTGGTTGGAAAAAGGAAACCATCATATCAATCTACAAAGCAGCTACATCAGCTCCTTGCAGAGATCAGCTCTTGGTCTCCTAAAGCACCCAAGAGGCAGTTCTCCTACCCCTGGAGGTTGGGATTTTTGAAGTCTGGGGAGGGACTTTGGCCAAGGGCAGGGAGTGACGGGACAAGGGATGATGGCTTGAAAGTGTCAGAGGGGAGATGGAGATAAGATGTGAGGCAGAAATTCTTTGGTGTGAGGGTGGTGAGCCAGTGTCCCAGGTTGCCCAGAGAAGCTGTGGCTGCTCCTCCCTGGAAGTGTTGAAGGCCAGGCTGGATGAGGCTTTGAGCAACCTGGTCTAGTGGAAGGTGTCCCTGCTGCTGGCAGGGGGGTTGGAACTGGATGAGCTTTAAGGTCCCTCCCAACCCAAACCAGTCTGGGTTTCTATGAAGAAGTCAGGCCAGTGCCCTCATTTTAATTAAAACCCAGAGAACTGGACATTTAATTATCTTACGCCTCTTAAGAGCAAACGCACCAGCTGTGGCACCAGGTCTGCCCATGGATTACCTGTCCGAGAGCTGCCCCGAGATGAAGGAGCCGATGAGGACCCCCACGAAGAAGAGGGAGGTGGTCAGTGGCGCTTTCCAGTCGTCCTCACACACCAGGTTCCACTGCAAGAGAAGGACCCGTGCTCAGATGCAGCCGCAACGCCGCGTCGAGCCTCAGCCAGGCACAGGGGTTATTGGCTGGAGACACACAATTTCCATGTAATTTATTTGAGTTTCCCCACACCTGCTTTTCCATCCATTGTTGGCATGGGTGGTTTCCACAGTTGTCCTGGGAAGCCCTGCTTAAAGCATTAAAAAAAACCCAACCAAACAAAAAAAACCCTCCTGAAAACAACAACCAAAAAACCTGCAAAAAACAAAACCCAAAAATAAAAATAAAAATAAAATTTTTAAAAAAGCTAAAAAGCTGCTCTGGCCCCACTTCCAGCACGAGCTCCCCACCACACGCCCATCAGACCCCCAGACACCCCACAACCCAAGATGCTCCCCAGCAGAAAGGATGGAGAAGGGTGAAGGACTGCCCCATCCCTGGCTAGGGACAGCTTCCAGTTCACCTGACCTTTGCCAGCACAAGAACTGCTGCGTTTCTACAACTTCTAGATTCAACAAACCACATCCAAGAAGATGCACGGAATAAAATCTCTTTCCCCACGCTGACATCTTTCCAAATTCCTTTCCATCCCCACGACCCGCGGGGCTGACTCACCACCCACCACTCAGCCTCGCAACCAGACCTGGCTGGGGCTGGAGACTTTAGGGCAGGAGCCAGCATGGAAACTTCCACCTAAAGCTGTGCATAACTCCAGACAAAGTTTAAAAAAACCCCATAAAACCAGCATCATGACTCTCTGTCCACTGAAGTTACAGCTGAGGGTGTTTCTGCCACGGCTTGTTCCCATCCTGGTGACTAATCTCCCAGCAAAGTCATGTCTGCCAGGAGCGCTTATGGATCAACTTCAAACGTGTCAGGCTCAGATTAGATAATTCGACACAAAGGTAAGCTAATTAGATCCCAGATCAAAGTATAGCATAATTTTAATAATTAGCCATGCTATCAGAGAGCAGGGACATCATCCGCACCAGCGCTCGCCCTGTGCCGAGCCGTCTCGGCAAGCGGTGGCCAAGCCCAGGCAAAGGCAGGGTTGGTGGAGCAGAAACCTTCCCTCTGGGCTGCTGCTGCTCCTCAGCTCAGCTGCAGACAACAAACAGCAGCAACTCTTGCATTACAAAGAGACCCAGATGCCATCTGACAGCGCTGCGGGTCCTGCCAAAGCCAAACCAAACAGCTGAAGAAGAAAACAAGCAGCAGAAGAAGCAGAAGTAAAGCCCAAAGCAAGGCGGGATGAGACGTGGACAGATGCCGTCTGCTCCGGACTATAATTTAGGAAGGAGCTGCAATCAAGGTCTATTTTCAGGTAGGATGGAGGTAGGTGGTGAGGAGCCAGGTACCGCTGTCCAGCTTGCAAAATAACACCAGCTATGGGACAAAAAGTGACAAATCAAGCTTCAAAACACAGCCTGTGCCTCTTCCCGAGAAACACAGAGTCTTTAAGGCAGGAACATGGAGATCTGGGGACTGAAACGTGCCCCCAGTACTGAAATCTGATTAATAACAAGAATAAACCTACGGCAGCTGCTTCTGGAAGATATTTTGTCGTCCCTGTTGGGGAGGGAGAGGTGATGAGGTGTGGGCACATCTGGGCAAGCGTCTGTGTTCATCTTCACTGTGTTTGATCTGGTGGATGGGAGCGTGTGGGTCAGTCAGGCTCAGATGCCTTCAAGGATGCAAGTCAAGAAAAATAAATACCAGGATCTGCTTCATCTGTCACAGAAAACTGAGATTTCTGGAAAGAAACCTGGTGGAAATCAAGCCCTGTATTTAAAATGAAGCAAAATTCAGGATCAGGGAACACAGCGTGAAGAGTTTCTTTACATGGAGCTGGCAGGGAAGGTGCTGAGGGGCTGTGGCAGCTCTGTGCCTGATGGACCCCTGGCCCCCAAACTCCAGAGACCTTTGGCCACGTCCTCCTACAGCTTCCCCGCTCTGGGAAAGCTGGTGACAAACAAGGTGACAGAATTCACAGCCAACACAGACTGTTAGGAATTATCTGGGTGCTGAGCACCCCGCTCTGGGGCTGCCAGTGCAGCGCCTGCTCCTGGACCTTCAGACTTCAGTTGGTCCAGGTTAAGGGTCAGTGTTGTTAAAATGCCTCCATCGTGCCAAAGGCACTTTGGCTGCAAAATAAACCCGGCTAAATTATAACTTGCCCATGAAACTGAGTTGCTTCCTGTGTTTCCCTGGTGCCAAATGCCTCCTCCCCAGCTGCTCACTCTACCTTCTCCCATGACATACTGTGCAGACAGCAAAAATTCACTCCACAGGGTCAAGTCCTCAAAATTTGGAGGATGTGGTGAGAAGCACACAGCAGCCAGCTGGCTGGAGAGGGGTTGCTGTCTGCAGGAACTTGATGTATTTGACCAGAAAAGACACAAATACAATGAAATCCATCCAAGTCCAAGTATATCTGAAGCTCTTGAGTGAAAAAAACATGCTGTCTATTCTAGATCCAATACCACCCACAGCATGTGGGACCTGGCAATGATCTATACAGCCCTACTCTATAGGTACATCTCATAGAATCATTTAGGTTGGAAAAGACCTCTCAGATCATCATGCACAACCATCAACGCAACACCACCATGCCCACTAAACCACAACCTCCTCTTCTCCAGGCTCAACACCCCCAGTTCCCTCAGCCACAAGGGAACTCAGCACAGTTGTGCTCCAGACTCTTCCCCAGCTCCGTTCCCTTCTCTGGACACGCTCCAGCACCTCCATGTCCTTCTTGGAGTGAGGGGCTCAACACTGAACCCAGCACTTGAGCTGCTGCCTCACCAGTGCCCAGCACAGGGGAAGGATGACCTCCTTTGTCCTGCTGGCCACGCTGTTTCTGACACAATCCAGGATGTCACTAGCCTTCTTGGCCACCTGAGCACACTGCTGGCTCCTGTTCAGCTGCTGTTGACCAACACCCCCAGGTCCTTTTCCCCCAGGTAGCTCTCCAGCCACTCCTCCCCAAGCCTGGAGCGTTGTGTGGGGTTGTTGTGACCCAAGTGTAAGACCTGACTGACACTTGGCCTTGTTGATCCTCATACAGTTGACCTTGGCCCGTCAATCCAGTCTGTCCAGATCCCTCTGCAGATTCTCCCTGCCCTCCAGCAGATCAACACTCCCACCCAGCTTGGTGTCATCTCCAAACTGCCTGAGGGTGCCCTTGATCCCCTCATCCAGATCATTGATAAAGATGTTAAACAGGACTGGCCCCAAAACTGAGCCCTGGGGAACAGCACTGGTGACCAGCCCACAACTGGATTTAACTCCATTCACGCCAACTCATCTTCTACCAAAACACCAACCTCCCCTCCCCAAGGCACTCGCTCACGCCCTACGCTGCACGGTGACAGAGCATGTGTTGACATGATAATATTTCACTTGTGCTTGGATGTACAGAGCTTCAAGGCATTCATTGCTGACTCCTCACAAGCAGGACGTGGCAAAAAAAAACCCCAAACAAATTTAACTTATCTGTCCTCTTCCTCAGAGGCTGCGCCCACCACACCGAGCACACCATGAGCTACAGCCCAGCCACAGCTCAACTACCCACATCTAGAACTTCCAAACTCTCTGTACTGGACTAATCATTCATTAACCAGAAAATAAGTAATTCTAAGCATACTGGAGAGCAAAGTTCATGGAAGGTTCCAAGCAAGTGCTTTGAGCACTAGGAATGAGAGCTGCTTGAGAAGAACACTGTTAAATCACTTCATTTCCATCAAATCCCTCCAACCCTTCGCCACAAGCTCCCTCCTACTAGCAGAGACAATTCTGCTGGTGGGAATGCTATGGATGGATGAGGTTTCTGAAAAACTGGGACTCCACACCCTCTCTGGGTAGCCTGTCCCAGAGCTCTGGCACCCTCACAGTGAAGAAGTTTTTCCTCATGTTTAAGTGGAACCTCCTGTGTTCCAGCTTGTGCCCATTGTCCCTTGTCCTATCACTGACCACCAAGGAAAAGAGTCTGGCCCCATCCTCTCAACACCCACCCTTTAGATATTTAGAAACATCTATAAGATCCCCAAGAACCTTATCAATGTTTATAAATACCAGGTCCTGCACCCTGGGACCCTGCCAAGGCACCCAGCCAAGCCCCATGAAGCAGAAGGAAATCCTGCAGCCGCCTGGTCTCGGCCATGGGATGACACCAAACCCCACGCTGACCCCACGGGTCCACTGCCTCATCACTCCACTTACAGACTCATCACCCCAGCCTGATGATCACCTTGTTCACCTGTACTGGGGACACATGCACTTTTCCACCATCATCTCCATTTTAAGACCAAGCAGATGACCAAGTCTGGAATCTTCTGTTCCCTCTGCAGCACATCCCCACAGGCCAAGTGACACCAGTGCTGAGCTGGCATCTCCCAGCCTGTCCTTGTCAAGCAGCAGTAAGAACAGGATTTGATGCAACCACACACACCGAAGAAAACCTCCAGCGCTTAAATGGAGCCAGGCTCTTCTCAGTGATGCCCAATGGTAGGACAAGGGGCAGTGGGTGTGAGCTGGAACACAGGAGGTTCTGCTTCAACTTGAGAAGGAACTTCTTTCCAGTGAGGGTGACAGAGCCCTGGGACAGGCTGCCCAGGGAGGGTGTGGAGTCTCCTTCTCTGGAGATATTCAAGACCCGCCTGGACGCCTTCCTGTGTGATCTCATTGAGGTTCCTGCTCTGGCAGGGGGGTTGGACTGGATGATCTTTTGAGGTCCCTTCCAATCCCCAACATTCTGTGATTCTGTGATCCAAGTTTTGCTCCTCAATTGAGTTCTTGAACTGAAGAAGCTTTTTCACTGAACGTTCCTGATGGCACATCCTGGCGGCATGTCCTGGCTTGTCTTCCCTAATACTGAGAAAACGTTGGGCACGTTAAATAATCATCTCAAGTTTAACTGAACTTCTCTTCAGGGTTTCATCAACGCCCATTTTCCTTGTTTTATAACCGAATTCTGTATTTTTTCCAATTTTTAAAACACAACAAGTGACCTTCTTTTCCATCTGGCTTACA